GCATCACGATGGCTGTCTGAGTCCTACAGTTAATATGGGTGCGCGGGTCCATAATGGTACATTGTAAGTGAATGTCTCAGGGTAGACAGCAATAATAATTAGCTGTCATGATTTGAAAAAAGGATAATCCATGCCATTGAGTTAACAATCACTCACACAACACACATGGATTTAACTAATCTTAATTTGGAGAAAAATAACAATTCTAAATATATCAAATAGCCTATTTCATGGCAACCTGCGGCGGTGTTTATCTCTGGCTTCCAGCACATGCGAGTTATTTAGTTTCTCTCACTGGCAGTTTTACTATTCAAAAGCCTGAAATGAACATTCGTGGAGCAGGGGTTGCAGTTAAATCCTGCCTCTGACAGGGAGCCTTTTTTCACGATGCACATCTAGTTCAAGTACATAATGTATGGAGCTCAGCACTGGCGGCCGGGACGGGATGAACGAGGAATTCCAATCAACTCCCTCCCCTTTCCTAGTACCATCTTTGCAGAAATTAACTACGCTGTCGTAATGAACCTCTACTGCTGGTGTGGTTGTCTGTTCACGAGGGTACACTGCCCGGAGCACGCAGACCAGCCAGTGAAGCTAGAGAAGGTCTGGCCCGTGAGGTGCCTGCCCCACCAAGGCTCCCTCCTCTCTGCCACGGTTCTCTGAAACTATCCAGCAATAAAAACAAGCCAAGCCGTGCTTTTTCTTTAATCTGGATCATTTCAGAGAGCCCCGCTAACAAACAGCCTGGTGGCCTGTGAGCCGAGCAGGGCCTGTGAGGAAGACAGGAGATACCATCAGTCAAAGGACAGCAGGAGCCACCTCCCCAGGGCCTTCTTCCGCCAGGACAGGTCACCTGGTTACGCCCAAGATCTGATAAAGATGAAAGATAAAAAGATGTATAAAATACAACGGTGGCCTAATTGTTTCCAAAATACCTGCCAGCGGTGAAGCAAAAGCAGCAGTGACTGATAACTCTTAGCCAACTCATTGGCCTGGCAGTGTTTTGCTGTGCAACAATCTGGTACATCTGTTTGATACTATCACACCCTCTGTACGAGAACTGATTTTCAAACAGGTCAGCCAATTTGAAAAAAACAAAAAAACAAAAAAACAAACAACTTTACAGGACAGACTGCTCCTAAGCAAGTCACGTCCTCCCAGTGCCAGCTAACATGCCACCACACACCTTACGGACAGTGGTAGCTAAAGGAAAGTGCCTTGAAAAGCGTGGATTTGCAAGTTACAAGTCGGGAAAAAATGACAGACTTCATCATCAGAAGGTCTTTAAGAGCTGATTGCAGAGATAAAGTTGCCTTTGTCTCTACTGATATGTAGAAATGTCAGTTGGAGATTTGCGTTGCCTGCGTGCAGATTCTTGCAGGCTCCTGAGCTCTACCTGCCTCCCTCAAAGCAGTACAAGGTCTGTAGCGTGGCCAAGAGCCATTCAACGACCAGAGCAAGCGGCTACCAAGAAAGAAAGAAAGAAAAGCAAACACAAAGGAAAAAAAGGCAGAGAGAGGAGGAAAGACCTCAGGAACCCGGAGCACCCTGCATCAGGGTGAACGCTCATCCCAACATCCTCACGCCCAGAGGGAAGAGATGTGCATGGGCAGAGCCAAGCTCAGAGCTTGACATACCCTCCCTACACTCAGCCATGGGAAGCTGTGAGGGTTGGCGGCTTAGGCACACGGCGGAAGGCCGCACAAATCATTTCGACCAAATAAGAAGGTCTACAAAAATAACACAAGATCAAGGAGAGGAGCTGAAACCTATTTGAGGGCAGCAGCGGTGGCAGCATATTTCAGGGAGCCGGAGTGGCGAGTGGGTGATTTCTGGTTTCCCTCTTCAAATATAAAGACTCAATTATCTTTGAACAGCTTGCTTTACACATGAATTGACACATTTATTTTACAATAAATAACTGAAAGTTATCTATGTTTCCTTTACTGTTAATCTACACAAAGAAATAATAAACAGAGCTTGTCTACAAAAATGCAACTACTGCAGTCCTCAGAATTCAATTAAGCTAAAATAATTAATGCTTCCACCATATTAAATTACTTTATACATTTGAGCCACTGAAGTTTTTTTATTCTTTAATCTTTTTCGCCTTTTTATTTAATAAAAAAAAAAAGTTAGTTTCAAAGGGGGGGGCTGGCTAGGAGGGGGAAAAAGAGCATGATTTGCTGTTAAAATGTAATGGTCTCCTTTAGCTGACACAGCATGTAGAGTGTTTTGTGCCTTTGATTAAAATAACATTTTAAATGCTTTGAACAAACATATCTCCCCATACTTCTAAGGGATTATTTTACATATTTCTTGGTGGAATAAAGAAATTCATTCTTCCTGTCGCAGTACAGAAAGGCTAAGAATATCTTTCGTCACATATAAAGTAAAAATACTGTAGGCTGTTGCATTATTACCAAAAAAATAAAAAAATAAAGGGAGGGGGTGGCGGGGTGGGAGAAAGCTGCCTTAGAGATTAAGTTTCCCTTTTATGAAATCGTATTTAGTCTCTTTTTTTAACAAATCTAACAACAATGCTCTACAGCCGCTCACTGGGAAATACCTTTAATGTTAAATGCAGATTCTGATTTTCTTGGCTAATGCAGAAAGCCTTTCTATTGAAATATAAATAAGGGGTTTGGTATATCCCACTAAAGCCTTTCCAGTGAATGACTTCTGTGGGTTTTTCATGGCTACCCTCCATGGCTGTAATGTGAGGCTTTTATCCTACTATTGAAAACTATCCGCTGCTATTAAAAAAAATATGGAAGGACACTGCACCTTTTTATCTCAGAGCTGGGCTCCTAATTGAGAAAGCATTATTACTGCACTGTTTAGTGGATGTCCCTATCTCCGTGCACTGCTGAGAAAATGCCAATCAAACGATAAACCCTTTTATTTTTCTGAATTCAAAATCTTTCCTACATATTTTCATTTGATATTCAGTTTAGTCTGAAAGAGATTAGGTGCTCCAGACTGGCTTTTAATTTTTATTTTTTTTTATGCCTTTTCCACATGTGAACATCGCCTTCACCCTTTCCCCCAGCAGATTTTCTGCATGGCAAAAGTGTTGGTTATATTGAGGCTGACCCCCAGAAGCTGGGATGGGACGGCACCCTCTGCCCTGGGTATAGCCATTGACGTATTCCACTAAGGAATAAGGACTAAACTTGGGCAGAGATTAGGAAGAGATGAGATATGGACTGCAGCTACAACATGGGTCTCCTGGACCAACCTCACTAAGCACTGGGCACCCTCTGCAAAGGGCTGAGCGCCGTCAGCTTGCAGAGCGATGAACAGCTACTGAGGGTGCTCAGCACCATTCAGGAGGCCTTCAGCAGACTGGGGGAGAAGGTCCTGAATACTTCTCTTCTGCTCCCACCAAATGGGAAGGAAATCTAGCCTTCGAAGCTGCTACACCACGAGGTAGTCATCTCTGCCAAGAAAAGTGTTCACAACTGCAAAAGGATGGGGAAAGCTGGAAAAGGATGAGGAAAGGATGGGGCGAGGTCTTACAGTAGGGTTGCTTATAATGCTACAGCACAGGCTGCCACTGCTAATGCCCCCAAAGCTACCAGCTGCCCCACGCCAAGATGGTGACTGCACCCGAAAAAGATTCCTAGAAGACAACGAGGTAGTCAATGGGTGGCATATGCCCTCTCCAAAGAGGCAGATCATCTGGAGGGCTGAAGACTGCAGCAGTTCAAAGCCCACATCCTCATTTATACGATGGCCAAGCCCATCAGAGATGCTGGGGATTGACTCAGAGACCTCCAATGCTGAAAGTGGGAATCTCCTAAGCTTCAACTGTAAAAACAGGAGCCTCTCACAAGTCTTCTGGGGATCCCCTCACAGGAACACCTCTACTACAGACAGGATCCTGGACTGTCAGATCTAATCCCATACGACAATTCCTAGAGAAATTCGGGTAGCGGCAGCAAAGACAAATTGCCACTGGTCTTCTGTACGGGATACGGTCGATTTGAACAAAAAAGGCCTGTTTGAGGGGAGATCCTGCTGTGTAACACAAAACCCCCGCTCGCTAGCAGGGAGCAGAGCCTTCCTTTCGCCGCTGCGGAGGAACACACCTGCAGCGGGGAGGAAGGCCCCACGCGACGGAAGCGGCCCCACGCCGGGCGCTCTGCACAAACCGCTGCGCAGCAGCTCGCCCAGGTGGGTACCATCGCCCGCCTGCCCACCTCGGAGCCGGGGCAGGGGCTGGGGCGGGGGGGGATGTTGTTCGCTGAGTAAATGTTAACTGCACCACCTCTGAGAGTTTTAGAAAAAGAAATGCCTGCAATTTGCTCACTCGAGCTAGCCTGTGCCCTCGTCTCCTCTTCCCGAAGCCCACGTTGGGGCGTGCACGTGAATGGAGGTGTCGCCCACCCAACTCCAGCCATCTGCAGACAGCCAGGACAGGCGGCGCAGGCAGCAATGCGCACCAGGAGGCTGACATCTGCCCCAGCAGAAGGAACAAGCAAGGACTTAATGAACCCCCGCTTCAGCCCTCGCAACCAAATCCTCTTCCCACTGCAATCAGCGGGAAGAGGATTTTTCCACTGTCTTCGGTGGGGTGGGGATTTGGTCCTTCCCAGAGGGTCTGCATGTTACAAAGGGTGTCTCAACTGGACTGAATTGAGCATCTCACCAAAGTCCTTTATCCCTCCACCACTGCAACCTGCTTAAAGACGCTCCTGAAATCATTTCTGACCCCAACCTTCTGCTTTTTCTTTTTCCTGTGTGTCCAGGCTGCCACTGGGCTCTCCCGGGGGATGGAGAGTCCCCTCTCCGCGGGAGCTGGCCCTGCACAGATAGCTACGCTGAATTAAACATGGGGTGGGCAGCTCTGCTGAGCCTCGTGTAGCCGTGAGGATCCTCCAGACCGATGGCTCCCATAAAGACCTGTTACTGAAGCTTCTGTTTCATGGCACTTTCTAGAGGGCTCTCGTTAAAAGATTACCTAGGCAGTTGATAGAGTGTAAAACATGCTGTACCTGCAATGTTCTCCTGCTTGGGGCAAATTCCTTTTGTAGGCGTGAGAAGACGGTCTTCTTCATCGGGTGTGACTTGGATCCCGATTTCCACTGGCTCTGACACTTTCCTGAGCTCGGCGCGTGAGGAGGGGGGAGGGCTGCTCTTATCCATGCTCTTTTCATAGCAGGCACCACCAGTGCCATTGCACTGTTTTCTCTTGTGCTCTATAAAAACCAAGATGTCTCCCAGCGGGAAGTTCATCTGACACTGTCCACAGGTTAACAAGTCGGGGTCTGTCCCGCCTGCGGCGATGCTGATGCCGCCCGGCTCTGCTATTGCCAGGCTCTCATCCTCGTCGGCGAGTGCCGGTTCCACATGGTCAGCCTCTGCTTTACATGGACAAGGAGAAAGAGGGAGGAAAGGGGCGAGGGGAGAAGAGAAAGACATTGCTTTGAATGTTCGCAGACATCACGAGAGGCCCAGCCTCCCCTCACCCGCCCAAAGAAGCCAAGACTGATTAGATCTTTCTTTTATTTTTCAGCTTTTCCGCTCTCCCAGAATGATTTCAATATATTTTGCAACCAAGCCTGCCTGAAACAAAATGGAAAGGCTGACCTGGCATAGCTCTCCTGACAGCTCCTTCCCACTGCTGCCAGCACTGCAAGGAGATCAGCAAAGAGCCATTTTGCAAACGCTCGAGCCCCCAGCCACTTTCTGAAATAGTTCCTCTCTTTTTATCCCACCTTCTCGTTCCCACCGCACCTCACAGCCGTCTGGCCAAGGCCCCATCCAGCAAAGCTGATGCACCCGAACCTCTCCGATTTCAGAAAGAGGGGGGGAAAACGTGCTCGCGTCCTCCCAACAAGCAGGACCAGGCTCCGTGTGGCGTACAAAATTAGTACAAAGATACCGGCGAGCTCAAATGACCACCCATTAGCCCGAATTCCGGCAAACTGTTTGCAAGAGGAAGACAAGCAGGCTACAGTCTCATGGGAAGTTAAAGGGGTTTCAAAAGTGTCTATGGGGGGAAAAAGAATGAAGCACTTATTTAACATACTGGAATATTGGCGAGCCTGAAATCTTCTGCTCGTTTTCCCAATGTCAAATACCCCTGCAGTTGCTATATAGGTTAATAAAAGGGGGGGTTTTGTTTAAATCTTGCCCATGGACCTGCTGGATTTCATACCATTACCTCCAAAGACCAGGAAAGCACTTCTGAGTGACCTGTATGAGTTTCTGTGAAATAAGTAACTTCCCATTTCACAATTAAGAAAAGACAGTGCATTTTTAATGGGTATTTTGAAGATAATTCTTACATTATAAAATAATTACGGATCACAATCTATTTCTGGGGCAAAACGTATTTTTTGGTTTGTTTTCTCTTGTTCCATCGTGTAACTGCCAAATCATACAAACCTTGGTCTTTACTTGGGCAAAATTTCCACTGACTTTTGCCTAAGGCTGTTTTGCCTCTGCAAGGACTATAGGATTTGGGCTGAACAAAACAGAGGAACTAACAGTATGTAAATCAGCAAGTGAGACCTCTAATCGAATCAGGATTAAAGGAATAGGAGGAAAAATGTTCTCTATTAGCCCGAGCAGTTTGCTTACGGATTTCCCGGGGAAAGCAAGTCACACAAATATCTCGAAAGAAGCGAGACCGAGATAAACAGATGTTATAATCCAGATCTGGATTCTCCTCCTGACCGAAAACAAATGTTTTGTCCCACTCTTCATCAAATTGCAATAAACAACCCCACACAGGAATGGGACAGGAGGTAGAAAGTGAAATGTATTACCTGGCAAGAAAAATGGCTAAGCCTTGAAAAAGGCAGTTTAGAAAAAGAATCGCCCCCGGTTTCGCCTTCCAGAATAAATAATTGATCGGGGTATCCACCAGCTGTATTACGAGTTGCATCAGAGCTCACGAACAGCAAAGCGGAGAGCAGCAGCACCAGCGGCAGCAGGAAAAGGACGGGGACCCCAGAGAAGCGCCTGAGCACGGACCGTCCTGCTGGAGCAGAGGATGGGCAGGGGAAGGCTTCGGCTTCCTAATTCACACCAACCTTACCAAATACACAGCACAATACTCCTTCTGAAAGCCAGTAATTACCTTTTTCCCCTTAATCCAAGTTTAAAAGGAGTTTGGAGACAATGCTACGTGATTAATTCACCAATTTATATCATGAAAAGATGCCTCCTTGCCTTAGCGAAAATGTAACCGTAACCTTGCGCTGAACAGGGACTGCTGGGAAGGGAGCGGATGGCTGCGAACAGCGTGTCACGACGCAAAAGGTAATTATTTAGTGCTGCGGTTCCCTTTAATGATCTAACATTGAGCAATATTGTTTATATTGAAGAGAGCTTGCACCTTTAATTACCAATTACATATACATCATTTTAGAGCCAAAAGAAAAGGACTGTGAAAGGGGTCCTTTAGAAATGTGCGCGCTATTTCTAGGAAGGATTCCTATTAAGGGGGAGCAGAGTGTCAAAATATTAAAAAAAAACAACCACACACACAGAGGCGCACACAGGCACACAGATACACGTGCAGGAGATGGGACAAAGAGCTGGAAAAGGCAACACAAAAACAGGAACTGAACCAGGGGTTGTAAGGAAAAAATGTAAGGTGGCAGAGGGGGAAAATGCTTGTTCCTAGTCTCACCTAACATTCCTGTAAAGCCTTCAGGTTCAAGTCTGTCTCTCAAATTACAAAGGCTGAATTTTGGCATTTATATATATAAAACAAATGAAACGAAAAGCACAGATCTCAACTTTATTATCTTTTTGATGTGAGGAGAATTATTATTTTTTTTGGCCTGTGATTTAAATTGTGCTTTTCAGAAAATGCAGCAAAACCACTGCATTTGATAAGGGTCCTGACCAGGCGTCTGTGGGAACGTGAAGGAGGTTTTAACAGCTAAACTGTTGCGAATTCTTTCTTTTCAGTTCTACACTTCATTTGAATATTAGTAAAATCCACATATGCCTATTCACTTACACTCGCTCACTCTCTCTTTCCAAGGACTCTGCAATGGCACTTTTTTAAAATAACATCTGGTATTCCTTCATATTTTGGCAGTCGTCACATTACCGAAAATCAGCTTTTCGTTTTCTTGGTACGCCGAGCCCTCGTGATCAGTAGTAATTGGGTTTCAAACTATCAAAAGATTTTTTTACTCGACTCTATTTCTGATTTGAGCTTAATAAATCATCAAGCATGAAACCAGCCATACACCCAACAATGCAGAAGCTATATTAACATCCCCTTATTCGGGACGTGGAAAACAGACATAAAAGAATGAAAAACAAAATACTGAATAGATCTTCAAATGCATTTTATCCATGTCAATTTGCATTATTTTTTTTTTCACTCGGAATAAAAAAAAAAAAAAAAGAAAAGGCTTCCTATTGACAACTCAATTAAGCCATTAAAAACCTACATTCAAGTAACATTACAGGAGAGATTTAAAACCCACAAAGGAAAAGAGAAAAAAGCCTGCAAGTCCAGCCCATAACGCATCAGGTCATGCCTAGTTAATACAACAGCCAAGATCTTAGGCTGTTTAAGGAGTCCTTTAATACCAATGGGGCAATTTAGGCCAGTCTCAATCTAAAGTTCTGACTCCACTTGTGTCTGTGGGTTTCAAATGAGTCGCTTCACATTATTTGAATTTAACTCTGTGGTTTTGTTGCTGTTTGTTGGTAGCAGGGTTTGGGGGGAGGAGGGTGTTTCCTCACGAGTATTTATTTAATTTTTTTTTTTTTTTTAAGAAGGAGAAATCAAGCCGCCCAAAAAAAAAAAAAAAAAGGAGAATGGAAAACATCTCATCTCCCTTACGTGGGAAAAGGAAAAAAAAAAATGCAAACGAGCTATTTCCAGCCAGGACTCGTGCCCTGGTTCTTCCAGGTGTGTTAAGGTGTGCCCAGCGTTTTCCTTGCACCCAGAGATTCCTCCGAAGAGGACTGCCTTGGCATTGCCTGCCGAGGGAGCACAGTGAGCCGGGGATGGGCGATCTATGGAAACATCAGTGACATCGTTGTTACCCGATGGCTTCATAAAATTAGTGCAGCCGGACAATCTAAATCATTCGCTCTCCACTTTCAAAAGTGTTACGCTTGCTGCCTGGACTCTAAGCAGCATCTCCAAGCTCTCTGGCTGCCTACCACACCGAAATACAGTGGACAAACTCCTTAATTCCATAAAGGCACTGTCGCAAAACCACCAGCGCTCCGACTTCAGCGTGGTGACATCATTAGAGCATATGTGCCCCATGCAAACAATACTCTCATGCCGGGTATTAAAGCCAATGCACATGCTAACTACTTTCTGCCTGTCAGATGTCTCAAAATCGTACCCATTAATAGTGAGAAAGACTCCGTTGCTAAAAATCATTTCCGAGGCCTCTAAGGACTAAACTGGGGGGGCTTGTTCACAGGGTTTGGGTGAGGCTGGGTCCAGGCAGCAGGAATTTATTTTTCTTGCCTTTTCATTGCACTGCAGAACCAAGGTAAGAAGGGATCTCAAAGTTGCCAACCTACTCCTTTCCTTATTTTTCCCATCCCGCAGCACCAGAAGGAGGCAGAGAAAAGGGGGGAGAGGGAACGGCTTGGGGCGGGGCCAAAGCGCTGCGTGCGAAACCTCCCCTCTCCGGTCGGTTTTCCGCACAAATCGATAACGGGGCGGTTAAGGCGAGCGCTGACGGGGCCTTCGCCGCAGAGGTGCTGCTGGGTGCCCTGCCTGCCCCGCCACCCCACCGCGGCCACCGACCGCCCTGGTGCCCACCCAGGGGGGCAAAGCATGGGCTACCCCGAAAACCAACCCGTCTCCGGGATGAGCTGGGGCTGCCCGGGGGCCGCCATGGCGCCCGGGGATGGGAAGATGCCCGCAAGCGCACCGCAGCACGCCGAGCGCGCCGTTCTCTGCGGCACAGTCGCTGCCGTCTTGAAGGCACCTCCAGAAAGAGCTCAGCCCAGCTGGGGAGCGAGCACAAAGAAGCGACTCGCTCTTCAGGGTGTTGGCCCAAAAGCAGGCCTGAAAATGATGTCCCTTCAATCAACACCCACATGTCACATTTACTGTAACATCAACATGCTTAACGGAAATAGCTCGGATCACACGCTCTCGAGCTGGGTTATCGCCGCGATCGGTGTCAGGAGCCTCGCTGCACAAAGACTAACGCTGCTCAAAGCAGGCGGCGCGGCTCCTCGCCGTCGAAGTTTATCAATAACCTGTTCCCAGCGCCTCCCCGCAGCTCCCTGCAGCTGCAAGGTGCAGCGCTGAGCTTATTTATGCCTACGTATTGCACCAGCTCAGCAGTACGAGGCACCGCTTATCTGCCAACGATTTTTAATTTTTCTGAGGACTGAAAAAAAATTGTTTGTA